TTCCATCTAGCCCCGCTTCACATCTGATCTCGTCTACATTTGCATAACCTAACAGACGCTTGAGAAAACTGAATAGGTAAACGTACTTAAATTTTAAACGTTTAAACGGCAAAAAGGTAAACATTTGTCGCATGGTACTGCAAGGCTTTACAAGAAAATCAAAGCAATTACTAAATTGTTGTGTCAGCCGTCCGGTTTTCAAAGCCAGCAGAGGAGTTTCGCTGGTGAGCAGGCAGTTCGGCGCCGCCGGTTAGGTCGGTGATGTAGAGCTGGAACAGCACGATGACATAGGTCAGTACGGTGGCTGCGAGGGCCAGCAGGGTGGAGCGCTGCAGCCGGAACAGGCCCAGGTCGCCCAGCGCGGCCAGGTCGCGGCCGACCGTCTCCCGGAACAGGCACAGCTGCTGGAACAGCTCGGGCCGCTGCCAGCGGGGCCGCAGCAGCAGGTCGCGCGACTCGCCGACCGCAGACAGCACCAGCTGCGACAGCTCGCACGGCAGCACGACCGCCACGGCCGCGCCCACAGCGTACCCCGCCATGGAGGCTGCTACACTGTGGATGGTTCCAACCAGAAACGAGCCGATGGCGAGCATGACCAGTGTGATCACCTGCAGCAGTCCAGAGAGCATGAGCAGGATCAGCTCGGGGCACATGACGTCAGTCAGTCGAGCGAAGGCCCGAGACAGGTCGTCATGCAGGGTCCTCAGTGTGCCGAGCTCCGATCTTGTCGCGGGTCGCTCTCCGTCCGCGACGGCCTTCAGTCGAGCATTGATGGCAGAAAAGCCAGCAGAAATTTGTACAGCTACAAATGCCATCTTGAATGCAATCATGTAACCTGTGAAAAAGAAGATCCAGAGAGCCAAACCGGAGCAACGTGCCATAAAGCATTGGGCCGAGAAGGCATTCTCGCATAATGCGTCACCGGCAATGAAAGGGGATGCCATGAAACACGTCACTCCAAGTTCAGCGAGAACAGCAAGCAGGATCATGTTCAACTTCTTGTGTAACTTTTTGGAGAACTCTTTGCATTCTTGCAAAGCGTCGTGCTTCATGAGTTTTCCTATGGTCAGAATCAGTGCGTCATATGCCCTGCGTCTAAAAACTAGACACACCATCAGCGAAAGCCACATCAGGATGAACTGAAGACCAAAGAAGGCCGTGTTTGACGCGACGTAGATCACATTTTTGCCGGTGTTGATCTCCTGAATGCCATACGCATACAGAACGCATACAAACCATCCGGCAGCGCCCGTGTTGAGCAGACTCACGCAGGCTACGTACAAGATGTCTCCCCAGCCACGTCGGGCGCCGCTGATCCCCACAGCTCGCAGCAACGCCAGTAGCAGCCGCGCCGAAACTGACGCTCTGCCATTACGGCGGACAGACGCGCCGGACCCGCCCAGGACTCGTCCTGAGGTGCCAGGGGGCCCGGCCACTCCGGCTGTTGCGGGGACTTCATGTCCGTCATCCCAGCTGGCGGGGACTGTATGCTCGTCATCCCAGCTGAACCGCTTCACGTCCACACCAATCCGCAACGTAGCCATGGTGTGGGCAGTGCCGCCGGCAGCTAGATGGCGATACTGACTGAGCTGAGCCCGCCTGAAGACCGACCCGACCCGCGCCTGGTCGCCACGAGCCCCGGGGCCTTCCTGACCTCTGACCGCCCAGCTGCCCCGTCTTGCTGCGAACACCGCCCGGCGTCCAGTGGACGCTACCACGACGTCGCCATGCCAACGGCGTCGACAGAACCTGTTGGCAATCGGGCTGCGCGTCGACAGAACCTGTTGACAATCGGGCTGCTGGCTGCACTTTTGTTGTGCTGGCGCCAATGAGACATAGACCAGCCTTCGACTATGTTTGCCAATGTTTTAGGTTTATGAGGGTCAGACGGCGCCACGTCAAATATTTAGCATCGTTGCTCTGGTAATACCTATAGTCGTTTATCATAGCGTCGGCTGTCCACGGCGTAGAGGATGAAGGGAATATTTTCGAAAAAGCTGAACGCAAACACTGCAGTTGACTGTGCGGTCCAAACGCTGTCAGCTGGCCGTGGAATGACTAGTCTTTTCAATAACAAAGTTAACCTGTTTGACAGCCGTTTCGACCAAACGTCTTGTTCAGCTGGGCACTCTGGGTAAACGGTGGTCATCGCTTTTATATACAAGTGAATAAAAAGAGCTTATTTTTCCACCATATAATTGTTTATTGTTTATTAAATAAGTGAATGCTACCTATATTTTTGTAAACGAGTAGGTAAACTGTTAATTCAAACTTTCGCCAAGCCAGATTATTTGGTTCTGCGTCTGACTCGATAGAAACAAGTATATCCTACTAAAATAACTATATTCAACTCGATGCAATCCCACAGTATTTCACTGCAGGCACTCAGTGCAGTGTAGCATTCGTACATGTGGAATATGGATTGTGAACATACACGTAACAAATGTGACAAAGCCATTGACTAGAGGTAGTGCGACCACACTTTATGTCGCACAACCGTGACGTCCGGACGGACGGCGGCCCCGGACCCCTAAAATAGGTACAGATGGGCCATAATGGGCCATGTCGCGGTAGCCTGTTCATTTTCCTACGCTGCAGCTCGTTTATCCTGCGGAGGGTGGGTCGCCATTCTTCTAACGGGCCCCCTCCCAGTAGGTTGACTATGCGCTGCTGGAGGTTTAGAGTGCACCGGTCCCGAGCTATGCCGAGTCATTGGATATGCATTTTTAATGAGCAATGCGCTATATTTCAACTACAGATATTGCGCTGCAGTTCCAAACACCGATCGCTCTTATACGGAACAAAACGATTTAAACATTGTAGGTTTTTGCCAAAAAGGGATAACATGAAAGATGATTTTGCGTTCTGACAGGAAAAAATCCATTATCGCCGGATACCATTCAATTTAGACATGAGCGCATTCATCGCTAATGGCCTGCCGCCGGAGCAGAAAAACTGGGGCCTGATGAGCTTGAGGCATGAGCTGGTGGCTGACTCGACAGAAAAGAGCTCTATACATCACACGAGAGCTCGGCGGGCTCAGGTCGCCGCGTCGTTCCTTGAGCCGTACTTTTGACATGCGTATTTCACGGCGGCGTTTCTATAATTGATGGTGGCCAATGTAGCGCCATGGAGTGAGACCCCATGCCGGTGGCGGGCCATCACTTCAGTCGCCTGTCCGATCGACGGGCGCAGATACCGGCGCGGCGGGACGTCGCGCACGGGACGACCGGCACGGGTGTGGGGGCTCACACCCGTGACGCCGCGCCTGGGGGAGCGTCTCCACCGCCAATGTTCCTTAATCCGGATGATAACGTCCCTTGATGACGCTGTCTTGTGTCGCACTCAAGTTAAACCTGCGCCCACGGTGCTCCGCACTAAGAGATCGGCCAGGCTTGAGAAGCCCCCTCCCTGAGTTTATTTTTATATGCTGTAAAAGAAACCCCTTTCCGACCATGTCCAATGCCCACCCCAGACCCCATGACCACTCCCTCGGGTCACGATGTCCCAGCGCTAGCAGCGACTGACGAAAACGGTTGAGACTACGAGCAGGGAATGTTCCCAGCGTGCCGATGACGGCTGGGAACATGCAACGTGCCAATGAGCATGCAGTGCCTGGCGAACAATGACTGGACACATGCATCGCTAACTGAGATATGAGCCGGCTCTGAGCGGCGGGTCAGATCTCCGCCGGGTCACGAGTTCCACGTGAGAGCTCAGAGCACGGCTCGGCGGTCAGATCTTGATTGCAAAAGTACCAAATCATCGGGCTGATCAATAACTATCGATCGCGACACGATTTCACAACAGTCTTTGCATTGACATTGTCCAAATGGTACGACGCGTATTTGACTTTTAATCGACGCTCTTCTCCGCAAGAGCTTTTTATCCGATGAACTTGTATTAGGGAAACTCAATCATTGTTTGTCAAATGTCAATCAATTCATCAATTGTTATAATACAGCAATCGTGTTTCATATAAGATCAAGAACACTAAGCTGCCAAACGCAGAACTAAAGCCGACAACATCCTTGACTGTCGTCTGACCTGCACCCCTCCGGCCTGCCGCAGGGCTCCGTCACAGGCCCAGCCTCTGCCGAGCCGCGGCTCCCCCCAGTCCACACGGGCCGATCGCGGTCCGGCGCGGCGCGCGCCGCCGCCATGGGACTGACTGCGCGCCAACTGGTGGCGCACCTGGTGCGACTAATGGCGCGCCGGCGCCGGCTGATCGCCTGCTGGCTGCTGCTGCTGCCGCTGCTGAGCCTGGCGCTGCTGCCGACCGTCCCGGACCGGCGGTGGCCGCCGCAGCGTGCGGCCAGCTGCGGCCGACCGCTGCTCGCCGGCCGGCCGGACGTGGACGCCGAGCGGCTCTGGCCGCAGCTCCAGGCAGCGGAGGTGAGCGGCCGCTGACCTAGGAAATTTGTGTGTGTTGGTATAGTGACAGCGATGCCGCATAGGTATCTACATATATTTTCCAATTTCCATGTATCCGATCTGAAGTTTGTATTATGTATGTTGAATATACTTATATACGTCGCGAACTAAAAGCATTCGATGATATGTTTCATATAGGCATTTCTGTTTTACATCAATGTTTACTGTTAAAAACAAAGTCAACAAACTGTTTGCATCTTCATTGCGTCTTTGTTAATCATCTTGCATCCATTGTTTGGCATCTCTATGTATATGCTCTGTGACTGTTTTACCGTCTTCGTTCGTCTCATTCTACGATTTAAACTGTACCGTCTTTACTTCCTACGATTAGGTGGGTACCTTTACCCTGTCATTTATGGCTCATGTCATAAATCACCTGGACCCGAATTTCTACGTTGGGACGTTTCCATATATCACTGCTGTCTGGTGAATGACCGTCTCTGATTGTCACCCTACCTCTGATAGTCTCCTACCCATGAGACTAATGATCATAACGTTAAAAAACGTATTTAACGGTGTTCTGCTTTGTCGTCAATCTTAACAGTTGAATTTCTTTCCAGAAAAGCGACGGTAGAAGAAAAACGTTTTGGAATGAGCAACTGGAAGCACAATATCAGAAAGTGAAGATAAGCCCTGCTTTTCCGCTAAAGGTAAGCAATATGTTTTCTATTTCATCATAGGCAATTTATTTTTAACGATCTTTTTGAGATGTCTTATAAGGCTGACAACGTGTCTTCACATGGATGAAGGATGCCATGCAACATTTGCGAAGAAATGCATATTGGAGAGGTTATAAAGCTCGGATTGACTGAAAAGGTCGCTTGCTGAAGCAGGCGAATGATAACATGCGGCTGTGCAAATAACGTGCACAATACTTTCAGTGATTGACGTTTCTCATGCGTCAGTCCTAAGCCGTATAACTCTGATGTTACAGAAGTTGTCTGTCTGTAACAAACGAAAAGTGTCATCGACATCTGGGTGTCTTGCGCCGGAACGGCGCCATGTAGAAGCGTGAAGTTTGGCAGTCGACAAGCCCAATCAAATCGAACAATCGTATCAAAATTTGGTTGCGATCCGACCAGGGTGCGTGTATATGTATATACTAAATAAAAATGTGACAGCTAGGGAGAAGCGACATCCGCACAAGCAAACATTAAAATAAGTAGGTAGCTGAGAATAGCGATGTTGTTGCTGTGTAGGTACATACTACATACACATTAAATGGCACATTGTTTTAAAATGACACATTAAATGGCACATTAAATGGCACATCGTTTTACAGGCTAGAGTAGGTATACGTTATCTGCAAAGACCATATCGGACTGCAAGATGAGAACGGTGGCAATTGATCTACATAGATGTGTATACCCCGCGCTAGGAGATGACTGATGACGCCATCAGAAAAATAATGAAGGTGCAGAAAGATAGGTTGAGGTACTTTATGATGCCTGACGGAATGACATGGAGTAAACCAAACAGATATGTACCATTATGTATGTATCAATAACAATGGCATCCAACAGTCTGAGCGAGGCCATGTGGAAGGGCACTTTACTTCCGTCCCGAGGCGGCACGGGACGGGACGGGAGTCCGGACGGCACGGGGACGGCACGGCACGGAACTGGCACGGGGACGGGGGCGTTCACCCGGCCCGCCCGTGTCAGCGGCCACGCGCACTGACGCTGAACGGATCCGCGTGATTAGAGGTGTACCGTGTTCTGTTAACGCAGTAGGTAATACGCCCTTCCGAGTCCCGACGTTTGGAATGGTGGTGTCATTCGGAAATTGAACCTTCGGAGTTCCGATTTTGTCCAAAGTCCAATTCGAAATTTGGTTGTACAACGACAGCAGGCTTAGGACAATCACTTGCTACACATCAACATTTTTATAAAGTAATCGTGTATACATAGCATTGACTGGCGAATAGAAAGCTCAGCTTTCGATATGATAAACACTTTTGAGCTGGTTTAAGTACATTTAAAGGAAGTTAAATAGCAGTGTAGTGTTAACTACCTATTGCGTAGGTTTTGGACATCTTTGGACAAATGGCTGGCTTTGGACATTTTTGGACGGACAGAGAAATATTAGACTCTGGACGGACATTTGAAATACATTTTCTGAAAATGACACCACTAGTTCGGAGGCGCATCTCCTACCGCGCGCCCATAATTGTAGCGTGATTCAATTCCCCTGTCATGTAGGTTTGTGGGTGAATCTGACTGCCTGTGCTTTGAATAATGCACAACGTTCACTCTGAATGACACCGCTGCACTTTTGTATTGATTTAACTTGTCCCTTTTGGCAATGAACTATTACGAACGAGTATCTCTACACTGGTATGTAGACAACGGTACGGACCGGATAATATTCTTGGCAAAGTGTCAATGTCTGGAAAGCGCGGTCTGAGACACTATTTGAAATTATGCAAAATATGTTGGATAAAAAAGAGACGAATGGTGGGCTTCCTAAAACGATGATAATCCTCCAGCCTCCGCTTTTCTTTCTTAATGATTCCTAAACGACTATCGCGACCGAGCTTAGCCGTCTGCCGTTACTTCCAATGGATATATAATTCATTAGGGTGATTAAGGGGGTGATCAGAGACCGGCAATGACCCTTTCACTATTCCTGACAATAAATGCGAACCTTACCTATGTCATTTAGCATACCACAGTCGCCTCGATTGCAATTGGTCTCTCTCGTCTATACATATGATCGCAGGGCAAGGTGAGACTGTCTATATTAAGTAGAACAATTATATCAACGATGGTATCTACACTAGGTATATATTTACATGCCATATATTGCATTATCCCTACACACTAACATCAATCAAAAACACCAAAAGTCTGTCCAAAGTTTACCCGCGGAACCGCGAATGTAGCCTTTACATAATTCATGGTTCATACTTCATGTGTCCAAATGTCTATGTGGGCTCGTATCCTATTGGCATAGAGAGAGAGAGAGTGAGAGAAAGAGAGAGAGAGAGAGAGAGAGAGAGAGAGAGAGAGAGAGAGAGAGAGAGAGAGAGAGAGAGAGAGAGAGAGAGCGCCAGCCGACTGCGGGTTCGGTTTTTCAGTCGATTATGTAAAGGGTTACGCTGGATGCTCGCGGCGTTTCCCATTAGACTCCTACGTGTATTACGGTCTGCCGCGCGGCGCCGGACCGCGGTCGGCCCACTGAAGCCTGACTCATATACATTCGGCTGACCTACCTTACTGTCTGGGAGAGCGACTGATGGTTAAATGCTGTAAACGGATGGAAGTCGAGGCGGGTGTGAACCTTTAATTATACGTGACGGACGTACTCTTATGCTATGAGTTATAGGTATGGTTGGTTGGATGTGGTATGGTATGGAGCGATTACCGAATGATACGAGGACTGGCAACCGCTTGTTCCTTTGGATCTCATACACATGCACAAAATTAGTTCAACTTGGCTTTTATGTTGAACGGTGTCATGCAGTTGGGTGACCTACGATATTGTTCGTGGATGTTTGATCAATTAAGTAGTAAGTACCTACCTAAACTAAGCCTGAGACGAGCCTCGCAACTATGTATCTTATAATACTGTCGGTTGTCTGTTCCTGCTCCTGTCGCCAGCCTGCCACTGTCACCGTTAAAACCATCTGTTTCACACAGCTGTCCCCTCCCCTAACACCTCTATATCTGCGCCGTCAGATAATGCTGGTGGCTCACAGCAGTCGGCTGGAGCGCGACTGGCGCACTCCTCTCACCGAGCTGTACCGCACCGCCGGTCGACCCACCCTGGACTCCCTGGTGGCCACCATGGCTGACCTGACCAACATGACCTTCACCTGGTCTGAGGTCAGCCAGCTGCACCTCTGGTGGTACGGGTGAGTGACGGACCGCGGGCCGGGCGGCCGTGGAAGAGATAGAGATAGTGATAGAGATAGAGAGAGAGATAAATAGAGATAGAGAAAGATAGATAGAGGTAGAGATAGATAGAGATAGAGATAGAAATGGAGAGAGAGCGAGCGAGAGAGAGAGAGGGGGAGGAGGGGGAAGGAGAGGGAGAGGGAGGAGATAGGGAGAGAGAGGAGATAGGGAGAGGGAGGAGATAGGGAGAGAGAGGAGATAGGGAGGGAGGGAGAGAGAGAGGGAGAGAGAGAGAGAGAGAGAGAGAGAGAGAGAGAGAGAGAGAGAGAGAGAGAGAGAGAGAGAGAGAGAGAGGGGCGTGATCGGTCTTGGGCTTGTGACTTTTCATGCATGTGTCAGTTTAGATGTGGTTCCGTTTATAAACCGGACATTGCGTGCAATAGATCACTTATTGCATATTCGGATGACTTGCAAAAGGCACTCAATCAAGCGTGACCGCGCTGTTTGATTAATGCAACCAAAGCAACAACTTTCATGGTTATTTAATTTGTAGTAATTGTGTTACGGGACATTATTAAGGCATTTGTAAGCAATGTTCTTGAAGAAGCGACTGGATAACTATGACAGATGGGGTTATTATTCTTTGAAGGCTATGCTTTAATGCTTAGTAATGATGCGACCGGGTTGTTTATTATATTATATTAGTATTCAGGAACGACAGAACCATGCAATATGCATACCTACTATAATGGACGAGCCGTTGCAAACAATAGTTGATAGAGATGCTGAAGCGCGTCTTTTCTGTGACACTTAGGTAAAGCATTGTTCGTGTAGTATTTCTGTGTAGTATTCAAACCTCCCACGTTGCTCCCACGTACCTAATTTCCACTAGTCTCCCTACGTATTCGAATTGCGCATTGGAATGTTTAAACGGTTTACATAGCCTTGGTTTAAACGTTTGATTTCAACTGGCGTCTGAGCTAACTAATGCCAAATGTAGGCAGACCTGCAGCCTAAAAAAAAAAAAAACGATGCAACCTTTGAATAGGTGGCCAAAGAGCTTGAAACGATGTTCATCTATATAGAGTATGGCATGTTAGCTCGGCTATTTTATTTTTGTTATATTTGTAGCGTTATTAGGTATTCAGTAGGTATTCAATGCACTTTGAGCATTGACTTTTGATGTCACTCGACTTCGAGACATCGAAAACCATAAATGCCATAAGGCTATAGACGTAAACTAATAATTCGTAACAATATCTACATATAGGTATTGAGTGAATAGGGCGACGAGAATGGCATTGACAGTCTACCACTCTGGACAGCCGTCGGCTTTTCAATGATTTGCAATGATGTGGCGACACATGTTTTGTTGTAGTTTTTTTTTTCGTCAAAAAGTTTTACGTATCGATGGCATTAAGCGTACGACACTTCTCCAATCGACTTAAGTGGATGTGTGACATAGAATCGCCTGCACGGCTCCCGTTGACCCTCCTGTCGCCTCAGGGCCAGCGAGGAGTCTCGCCGCACCCTGACAGAGCTGGTGCGCTCTGGCCGCCTGGAGATCACCGGCGGCATGTGGGTCCAGCCGGAGGACACCGGTGTTCGACTGCACACGCTCGTCCAGCAGCTGGTGGAGGGTGAGTCCACGTTCACTCAATATACTCTGGAGTCAATGTGTGCGGGGGTGACACGGGACCAACCGCGCCGACATATACGCGGGTGTATCATCGCCCCTGACTCCCAGGCGGCCGGACATTCGCATATCGACGTCTCAGAAGGACCAGAACTGGACAAACGACCCCGCCGGCTTTTACGGCCAACTTATTGAATTAAGCCAGTGGCTCATTCTAGGCCATGAGGCTTTTCCTCCATCGCCTTTTTCGGTCCCTCTTTATCCCCCATAAACTTGAAGACTCATTTCCAGGCTCCAGAATGATAGAATCGTCACGAATCGAGTTGCCTTGGGGCACCGGTTCGTGCCTCTGTTAGCTCTGTTCACCCAACTCAGCTTCATAGGCACCATTGTGCTTAGCTGAATGGCTGCAGCTTTGATCATTCTATTTCTGAATTCTGAAAGTCTCAACTTTTTCAGTGTCCGTGCCTCCATTTACGCCCCCTTTATGAGCTGGTTGACGGCCTGCCCATCGGATCTGCCTGTCTGGCGTCTGCTCATTTTGTAACTTTCGCGGTGCGGCCCAGTTTCGCGGTGCACTCTTATTCCACGATAAACGTATCAGTCGGGTGCTGGATTCATCACAACTTGTCCAGGTTTGCCATAAGCACAGCCAGAAGTATAACAAAGTTACTGGGCGACGGGCGTATGGCTCTTCCTAGCCCACATGACGTCTAATATTCAGAAGGCGGACGGAAACGCTCGCCACACATGCTTCCAGCTCCATTCAGCTCGTGTGTGGAGCTGTGAAATTGGCGACAGTCATTGCAACTCACGTGCCATTACGCCGACGCGTTTGGTTCTAAAGGAGGCCACAGTCATGGCGGTCGCACTCCCACTCTGTGCGGCGAATGGCTCGCAGCCGCGCATTGTCCACGCCTGTTTCACCGTAGATGTGGTCATTACGTCCCGTTATGAATTCGAAGAAGCCGTTTGTCAGTGCCACTGCACTGCATGTGCATGGAAGCTTTCGGCAGTGAACATGAGGTCGTGCTCAGAGGTAAATGTGTAAAGGAGGTCAGAATCCCTGTTAAATATTTAATCTTACATAATCCTTTCGGCCTCAAGGTACGTGCACAGATCGCTGCCTAAGGCGGCGGGCTGCAGCGGGTGCAGACGGCCCCAGGCAGCCTGGAAGGAGTGGGGTGGGCGGACCGTCCACTCTCGCCCATTGACACCAAGTGGACGCCAGTGGACAGTGTGTGCGTCAGGTGGACACATGGGCGGTGGAACGGCCCAGTTTGCAGTGCATAGGGTTCACGCCACGGGCGCACATCATGCCTCGTCAGCGTATGTATGCACCTTCGACCAGACGTCACTCGACTAACTTCTAAAGAAACAGCAAGTTCGCGGTCCACATGCTGTCTCTGGGAGCACGTAGCCCCTCTCAGACTGCTATGTACCAAAGCTCGAGATGCAGCGGTTGACTCATTCCCTCCCACTCGAGTCTCCCGAGTACCGTGTTTTCCGATGGCCAGCTGCGAGGTAAATTCATAATAGCGCGCTCGGCTTTCAGCGTGAATTAACTACAATTTGCGGTGTCGGGTGTTCGCCAAGGAGCGGCGGCTCGCTGGGAGTGGAACGGGCCACACTTAGAGAGCTCGCCATATGACGCCGCGCAGCCGGCCATCCGCGCCGTGGCGCGCCAGGACACGGTTGTAGACCACGCCGGCGCGGTAGGACTACGGCGCTCGGCCGGTAATTGTAGCCCCGGCGCGGCAGTGTCCCAAATACTCACGCGTAGTTCACATGGGTAGCGCCGCGTGCCGTGTTTCGGGAGCAGCGGCCGTGACGCTCCGCGTTACGCTGTCGAGTGTGCGCGCCGTTTAAAATGTTACGCCCATACGCGTTTGTGGCGCAGGATGGGGTCATCATGCGGGTTCACCGTACCATGGGACTGGGAGTGTTTGGGGATATCACTGACATACTGCACTGTCATACCACGTTATACCGACCGGCTGGTCCCGTGGTGTGGAACTGCGGGTGCCCGGTAGCTGACAATGGCCGGGAGGAGCGCTCACGACTCACGACTCACGGGTCCGGAGAGGGATAACCGGGTACTTTCCACCGACCTGCCGTGTCACCGAGCGGGTACGTCTGGCGCCCACTCACGGTGCCATGACAAAAACATGTCCGACCCGGCAGGAGTTCTGCCAGTTCATGATGCAGCGTCATCGTTTGGTCAAGCTCAATGGACTCTCATTGACTCTGAATATGTAGGTGTCGCTATGCGCTCGACGAATGGGTTAGTGACTACTGCCTACCGTTATAATGAGATGAATAAGCGAACCAGCATTAAATGTTATATTTCGAGCCGTCTTCAAAATAGGTATGCAGTGAAATGTAATATGAAGATTGATTAAATAAGAGCTGTAGCGCAATGCACAGGTCTGTGAGGCCTTCGCCCATGGTGTCCGCGGTGTGGATGGTTACTATAGCCCACCAATTTTAGGCCAAACCAAGGCACTAAATCATTTATTTCTAGAAGCATTTCTAAACGCTGCATAGCTGCTGGGTGAGTCCGCTAGGTTCTAAGTTCGTTAATCTGTGATACTAATAGTCGACGTAACGGTTGAACGCACTCAGTTCTCGCACATACGAGTATGTCGGCCGATAGGTACAGTTAATTTCTTCTGTTGCTTTTCTGGTCCGACAATTTTTCACCTTAGTGAGGCCACGAAACCGCTGAGTGCGGAACATCCGCTGAAGTACCGTTTAGTTGGCTGTAGGTAATGCCGGCACATCGACGCATCTTCGACGCATCCGTTTTTCAGAGTTGCACACATAAAACAAAATAATAAAGGTAAAGATAGCTGTTACCATAATCACCAAATGTGGCACACAAACACAACACAGAATACCACAATGTTTCCATAACAACAGCTCCTTCACTGCTCCCACGTCTTTGATTTATCTTCTCCTCGCGCTGGTCATGCCAAAACCCGCAATGTAGCCTGCAGGTCACCAGTGCCTGACCCCTGCTGATCGACTACCGTGACCTGTGCTCCAGGTCACCAGTGTCTGTGCTGACGCGCCTGCCCTGACCTGTGCTGCAGGTCACCAGTGTCTGTGCTGACGCGCCTGCCCTGACCTGTGCTGCAGGTCACCAGTGGCTACGCCAGCACCTGGGTGTGACCCCCGAGACGGGCCTCTGCGCGGGGTCGCCAGCGGCCGGCTGCAGCAGCGTACTGGCTCACCTGTTCAGCCAGGCAGGCATCGAGCAGGCTGTCGTCACGGTCAGTGCGCCCGCAGATACTGTCAGCCAACCGCACATACCCACATATAATCGCAGACACCTCTGCTGTTTTAAAGGAAGTGATAAGGTCTAACGGGCTCGAGCACACCCAACCGAACGCAAGACCATCCCTGGATTGGTTATTACTTGTTACAAGGGCCGCGAGAATGTCTCCTTCCTCGCTGTCGAGCATGACTCCATTAAAACTGCGCCCGCTCATTGCTTCGGAACGACGCTGACAGCGTAATCGGTCTGGCACAGTCGACGGCGCTCACTTCACTGGAACTAATGGCTATGTTGCAGCGATGGCGCTTAGGCTATGCTGCAGCGATGGATGCGCATTGCACACAAAGATCATTTACCTACCAATATATTGAGACGTCGATCCGTAGGATAGGTCATAAAATAAACAACTTTTTCATCGCATTAAAGTCATTTTGCCTTGACCATAATGTCGGCTAGAACACCATTATTTGTTAATCCTCTTAACTATTCTGTCAGGAAGCATCACAGTGATGAATTTAATAAAGGTTGTGTGTGATAAATGGGTGCAATCGGGTTGACTCTCTGTCTCATATACGGTACCCTTGGTATATGTATTTGGATTCTTTCTCGGCACCTTGAAATTTTGATACGAGCAATGACGTACTAAACTTTTAAATGCTGACGGACATTCCACAACTATGTCCTTTCTGCAGCCCCTTCTGAAATGGCAGTCGGTGACACCCTAAATCAGGCCCGAGATTCTTACAGAATCGGGCCTCAGGCAGGGTATATTGAATTAGGGCCTCAGGTGCAACTCAGGTGTCGCTCAGGGGCTCAGGGTTTCCAATGTCACTAAGTACTGACTGTTGACTCGTGCCCCGTTGCGCAGAGCGCCTCTGGTGCCTGGACCGAGTACATGGCCGCACACCGGAGCGTCGACTTCCAGTGGCAACAGCCGTGGTCGGATGGTGGCGACGACGGCAGTCTACTGACCCACGTCCACCCCACTGACAGGTCAGTTTGGCGGGCGGGGGCGGGGCCGAGGGGCGCCTGGTCAGACCGATCGGTCGGACTCCGGGGCTGAGGCGGGGCTAAGGGGTGCCCGGTCAGACCCATCGGTCAGTTTCGCGGGCGGGGGCGGGGGCCGAAGGGGTGCCCGGTCAGACCGATCGGTCGGGCTATAGACGATCCGCTGATCTTCTCATCGATCTAATCTATGGTCGTTATCGTGATGAATTTTGCTATTTATCATTTAGTTTTGCTATTTTATCATTTAACGTGCTTACATGAAAAAATAAATACGCGTTCCGCAATAAGGGGGAAACGAACAAGGATACCTCGTATTTTCCGAGGTTAAAGAAATCAGTTAGAGGAGACTTCTGAGAAAAGTTTCACCGATTTTCCATCTATCATGGATTCATTGCTTATCTCGTGCGACAGTTTGACGCTATCGCTCGGATCGCGGATGGGACAGATCCTTTATTCAGGGCACGGTATAATAGAAATATATGACTACTGCCTGATTCCAGACCAGCACATCCAGATAGCACAGAACGACACTGTTCAGCACAGCCCAGTTTCCGTGCGTCTGTATTTTCACAGACGTCGCTTCCTGCTTCATCATTCTTTCGATTTTCATTCATCATGTCCAATTTGTTCCACATGACCCGTTCGCCCGAGATGGATCGTTCGTTTGTGAATACCCTGTTTCTCTGAAATATTCATTGCTCAGTAGGTGGGCAATCCAAAATTATTCTAACACTTTACACGGATAAATTGGCCCATGAAACCACCTGCACCGAATCAATAATTCATACAAACAGCTTTCCCAACTCCGCTTTGGCTGTAATCTGTCATCATTGGCCGTCCCCCCTGTGGTGGCACCAAGGTGCGGTTCTCCCTAAACCGGAGTGGTGTTGGTTCCGCGGGTGGCCGCGGGTGGTGACTGGTGAGCCGGGAACCATCTGTGACCGCCATGTCCCGCTGCTGTGCGGACGCCGGCGCAGCGCGCCCCGCACCGTTTTTGTCTTCCCAACCGGACACGGTCACGAATGGCAGTTTTATGAGAGGCATGAGGGGAGGGGAGGGGAGGGCGATGTGGCGTACGACACGTCCGCGCGATGACACGATTGTGCAGTTCCAAACTTCTGAACGGCGAGGAAAAAGAGGGAGAGAAGGAGAAAGACAAAGAAAGAGGACAGGCAAAATGCCCATGACGTGAAGTGAATGCGGGAACGCGCAGTCTCAGTCAGTCACCGCAAATCACTCGTCGTACACTCGCGTCAGTATGCCTCGCCAATCAGCTGCAGTAAATAGACTTACAGTTATTCACTCACGTGTGTAGGTAGTTAAATGTCCATTAGGCGCATATGTACATGTGCACAATAACCACACACATCATTAGACATACCTTCAGAGTGCGTGTGTTAGCGCGTCACTGCCTGTTGCGGTCTCCGCCCCGGAAACTGTATGTCCTAATGACAGCACAATAAGACGATCAAGACGGGCGGCGCATAACGGCTGTGTGGCCACCGTGACGCGGACGCTCGTCACGTCACGCGTCTCGCACCGTGTGCCATGGTCTGCGTCATATGCACAGTTAAACAGATCATCAGGGGCGGCTCCATACCACTGAATTATTGATGATGAAAATTCAAACAAATATTAAACAAGCGTTGCTAAATGTATCGAGCGTATGACCTGACGATTAATTGTTTTTATAGTTTGATATAACCATAAGGTAGGCATATCCAAAATGCCTATCAAGAAACCCTTAATTCGTGACGATTTCTATCCGGTCGAGCTCGTATCTGTCGGTCACTGTCCTCGTTTTTAATTCATCTTTTGCGAAAACCGTATAACTGCCTACCCTACCGAATACTCTTTTTCGATATCCCGTCCATCGACATTGTCGTAAAGAAGCAACCGCTTTTATGGACGAAGTGCATTATCAGTGATTGACAAAAACTTTAATCAGATAATGGACAAATATCAAGTCTCTTGGAGAATCTTTTTTGACCACCACAGACCAAGCGATACGGATGGATGTTGATTTTGCCCTCGGTAAAAACTATCGAGCGGACGACGAATGGTCATTTGTCGTGTATTTCAGTACGGCGCACATACAAATGTGGAACTGCTGCTAAGACTCTTTAGTGCACCCCATGGGTTGTCATGATAGATGGTTTCAAATTCATACAATCTTGATAGCAGATAGATAGATAAAGGTACCGCTAGAATTCCGATAGGTATATGGTCGCTGGCCTGCATAGTTAAATAGTGGAGGCACCCATCGTGGGAGAGAAAGAGAGAAAGAGAGAGAGAGAGAGAGAGAGAGAGAGAGAGAGAGAGAGAGAGAGAGAGAGAGAGAGAGAGAGAGAGAGAGAGAGAGAGGGAGAGAGAGCCATATCCGAAATCACATTTTACATTGTGCAATGTGCACTGTCGTGAAATTGAGAGATCGTTGGGAAATTCCACGACACGAGTAATGTCGTGAAATTGAGGGATCATTAGAAAATTCCACGAGTTCGGCGCGAGAAATGTATTTTTCAAATGTGTGTTTTATGCGGAGATAATGTGCTCAGAGAATATAAAAATGTACATGACGCAGATTACTTTAATTTCTTGGTGATGGTTTAACATGGTGGCAGCGGTGTGGAGTTAGTTTTATATCCAGAATTACGAATCATGGACGAAGAAGGAGCTGTCTCGGCGCCTTCGCCAAAAGTTTCAGTGGCGGATTTTCCGACTTATGACGGCTTTTCAAGGCCAGACGACTTCCTCGCTCAATGCAAGCGTCTCGGCGACCTGGGTGGGTTCACTTCAGACAAGTTGGGCATGATCGTCGCTACACGCTGCTCCGGTGAGGCTCTGCGTGTTGTCAATGAGACAGAAAGTTTGAACGGTGGCCTGACATTTACTTCATTGTGTGCGGAACTCATGAGTCATTTTTCGGACCAAACTTCCACAGCACAAGCTGCTATGAAACTGTCACAGCTCCGGAAGCAACCACAAGAACGCGCTCGTAACTATGGCATATCAGTGCGGCGCTTGGTGCGACAGGCATGCCCCGATTTTTTCTGCACTAACGGCCAGGTCAAGAACATATGCAAGCCGGCCTATAGTGCCACATTGTACCGGCATTTTGTGGCCGGCCTAGACCAACACGACATCACCCTCTTGTCGCGTCTTAAAGTCACTACGTTCGAGGAAGCAATAGCTGAGTTATCGCGCGAGGAGTCACTGCAAGAGTCTGTGCAGACAGCGCATGAATCTTCTTCAGTGCGCACAGCCCCAAGATCGGTTCAATGGGCCAATCCGATCAGTCGCAGTTCTTCACCGTACAGCGACGATGCAGCCCAGACCCAAATCCAGAGCCAAAGTAAGATCAGGCACCAATCTCCGGACGGGGTTGGCCCGCACAGTCACCTACAGAAGCAGCAGGAGCGGCACCGGCAAAGTGGCTCGCCCTCCCCGCCCTGGCGGCACAGACGTAGTCCTTCGCCGCCTTACGAGAGTGATCACTCACATAGGTGGCCGGGCAGCCGTCGGAGTCCAAACAGAGCTCGCGGACGCAGCCCTTCACCATCTGAACCAGAACGGAACGACTACCACCGACAGCAATGGCAGCCTGGCTGGGATGACTATCACCAGCAGCAATGGCAGCCCGGACGGGGCGGCCGTTACTACTACCAGCAGCAATGGCCACCTGGACGGGGCGGCCGTGGCTGGCGAGGTCAGCGGCCTCCCGGCGCCTGGGGAAGGCGCACACCGCCCCGAGGAGGGTCAAACAACGAACACCCACCTGACGGCTTTCACGGTATGATCCGCTGTTGGTCTTGTAGGGGCTGGGGACACCGCAAGTCTCAGTGCCCAAACGAATAGCCGGGCAGGCTCATAACGCTGGCCTGATGTCGCTGCCGGTGACGAAAGTTATGATAAATGGGGCAATTCTAAACGACTGCTTAGTGGATACGGGAAGTCAGCTGACTTTGTTAGACTCTAAAGTATTGAGAACATTGGCCCCTCGAACAGAACTGAAACGTGCAGCCGATCTCAAATCAGCGTCTGGGCATAATATGAATGTGCTTGGAAAGTGTGTCCTGCCCGTAAAAATGCTGGCATCTAGTGGCCAGACTAAGGAAACGGCATTCGAATTTCAGGTGGTAGAGGGCCTGTCACATGAATGTATTATTGGCTGGGATTATCTTAGCAGTCAGGGTGCTATCATGAACTGTGCAGATGCTTCCTTTCAGGTTAAGACCAGACTTTCAAAACCCGTTAGTGTTCCCGCAAAATCCGCAGTATGCTTAAGCGTCAAAGTAGACAGTCAGCTATCAACAGACTGTACTTACCTTATGGTTGGCCTTAACTCGGAAAGCTTAGAGATTACTGACTCTTTAGTACGCCCTTTCTCTTCACAAGAAATCCCTCTTTATATCAGAAATAGTTCAGATCGTCATATCACTCTCCCGAGGAAGACTGTCATTGGCTTTTTGGAGAGAATTGAATGTCATGAATCGGCTGAGCCTGGGTGTTCAGACTCAGGTCCCAGTGAGGTGAATGCCATCACGAGCGAGGATCGTCAATTCTTTGGTCAGACGACGGACGAAATCCTAGCCAGGTTTATGATGGGTGAGGCGGTTACGGATCGAGAACGGGACAGGTTAGCTGGTTTGATCCAGTCGTTTCCCGGTGTTTTCTCCCACGGATATTCTGACATTGGGTGCTACAAGGGGGACCCCATTGACCTAGAGCTGAAACCCGGGGTGTCACCGCAATTTGTGCGCCCTTATCCTATTCCTTGGTCAAAAGAACAACAACTAAAGGAGCAGCTTGATGAACTAAAGGCGTGCGGTGTAATAGCAGAAGGAGAGCCAGCTGACTGGAACTCCCCAGTTGTTTTGATCCCAAAACCGGGGTCACCTGGGGAAAACCGCATAGTCCAAGACATGCGGCAGGTAAACAAATGCTTACTCCCGAAAAAGTTCGTGTTCCCGAGTATTGATGATTTC